TCATTTGCACTTTTTTAAAAATATCATGATTTCACATTATACCTGTTCTGAAGATCGATTATTAGAAAAGATAGAAGAGATTTGATTGGTACACTTTTACAGTAAGGTTGAACACAAGTGGTGCAGCACTTAAAGAGTGTTACCTTTCTGGATTTTTATACTGTAAATCACCATATAGAGTACTCTTTAATAGTATCCTACACTTTATATTCAGATATATTGTAGTATTAAAAATTTAGTAGAATGTAAGATATCTCAGATACATTAACAGGTGATTTATATAAAAGTTATACAGAACAAATAGAAAATTTTCAGTTGTCTGCAGTGTATTCTTCTAGGTATAATATAGGTTTTTCACTAGTTAAATGTATTATATCTAGGCACTTTATATACTAATTTACAGTAATCTAATTAATGTACTGCAAAATCAGATCAAAGTTTGAACTTCAAAACAATATTAAATCAAGTCAAATTTGATCAAATATTTGATTTGAAGCTGAAACTTTGATTTGATTTTGTAAATTACTATATTTAACTTTATGTTTCAAAAAATTAAATTAACTAACAAGAAGCATTGCAGTTTATTGTCAAGTGAGATAATTTTATAAAAAATAATAGTATGACCCATTACAATGCTCTGGGTTTATCAATTTTCTTTTTTTAAAAAAAAAGAACATAAGAAATCTGTGACTGTAAATATAAACCATCGAATAAATATTTAAATTGCCAAAAATAAATATGCTTCATGATTATTGTTAAATCTGTTTCTAAGAAAATATAAAGTTAGCAATAATGACAATGTTGAAATCTTCATATAAACAAATATAAAATATACTCAAAAGTTATTCTTCTGATAGTTTTTAAAGTATCTATTATAATCACAATTGCGATAGTAACTACAATTTTTTTTGTTATCAATCAGGGCTTATCCAAAAGTTTCGATATTTAAATGTCTTTCTTTAGATTGCTTCTGTCTTCATTCAGCCCCAGATAGTTTTCTATTAACATTAATAAATATTCATTATTCAATTTTTTTTTTTAAAAAAAACTAACTGGTCATTAAGCTCTTGTTCCAATCATTCTTTGTTTTACAAAGAATATTATCAAAGAAATATCTGAACTTATAATAAATCTCAGTAAGGAGTATCAAAACATCCTCTAATTCTGGACTAAGTTCAATGCCCTTTGTACAATTTTCTTTAAGACCATAGTTGGTTGCTGCTCTTCTAATGGCAGTGGTGTTGATACTACAACTTGAATGGGTGTTATCTTCAGTGATTGAGATAAAGTTAATGAAACATGATTTCTTTGTAATTTGACTAGTGGCTTTTCCTTTAGTGCATTTGGTGTAACTGTAATAGTGAGAGTTAGGAGTAATTTTCTTAACAACCTCTCTGATAAGGTCATCTTTGTTAAACTTAATATTTGACAACAATTCAACATCAAAATCTAACTGTAAAACAGGAATTCTATCATAAACATAGCTTTGGTAATAGTTTCTTCTACCATTACAGCTTTTGTGATTTTGTTATATAAGACAGCCTTTCACTTCAAGAACTTGGTTATAGTTTAGTACAAAACAATTGTCACTCCTAACTATTATCAAATATAAATTAAAATAACATGAATTAATTACAAAATAGCTCTTTAATCCAATATATAAGTAATTGCTATAAGAATATTGTACAAAATAAGAAACCAGAGATCACTGTAAAAAACATTTTAAGCTGTATATTATGGTTATAGATTTAGTAAAAAGGCCTTTTTCCAAAGTAACTATTATTGTCTAATCCTTGATCATATTTAACATCATAGTTAAAAAGAACTAATCTTGCTTAAAAGCTATAGTTGAATCTGCAAAATTGATATTGTAAATTAAGTCTATATAATGTATATCAAATCTTGATATGAAACTGATTTTAGATCCAATGTACCTAAAACTGCTCATCTTTGTTTTATAACAAAAACATTAAGTTAAAATTAGTACTCTATATTTTGTTGACAGATCTTTTAGGTTAATGTTAAAAAAGATGCTAATTTATCTGAATTGGCAATATTTGCTAGTAGTGTATAGCGTGGACTAAAATACCAAGAGTACTTTACTATTTAAGCTGTATATATGAGTATTATAATCAGAAAGATACTATAATCAGTATAGAGAGGGGTATAAGTTGCACTATATGAGTTTTGCAGTAATATTTTATATTCCCAAATGCAATTAATTCGTCCTTAGTACCTGGGGTACTTTAAATTCTAGGCCTTCAAAAATTATGAGGAGTATTATAAAAGGGATCTTTTTTAGTTCTCACTATATAGCAAGTTTGATTTTATATGTGGTTTCACAATTTCTATAAATATCTACCATCAAGACTGCCAAAAGTACAGTTATCTTTTTTATAGCAGTATTCAGGATCACGAAGATAGCAATAAAAAAAAAATGTAAAGTGAGAAATTGGGTTTGCATGAATTTAACATTTTTTTGATTAATAAAACTTATCAATACAAACTTAGACAAATCCAAATTATATAGTATAATGGTAAATATGTCAATTAAAGATCTTTATACTTACCTTCATAAATCAACCAAAATAAAACTAATAATAAGAGTTAAAACTGTTTAACCACTTAAAATTGGTTCATAGTTCCAGACAAAACCATGTTGTTCATAGGTCAAAATTATTTTAATGCTGTCTAATTAAGGCTAAAAGACTAAGCGATTATAAAATTTTAGTCAGTTCCAATTTTTAATTGATAAGAGACACAGGATATAACTAAATACCCATTTTGAATAATTACTTCTGCACTTAAGAAAGTATAGATAATATATCAATTAGTAAAAATTTATCATTACTAAATTAATATAATAATAAAATTATTATACAGTCAAACCTCTCTATAGTCACCTTTATAGTCACATTTGCTTATAATCATATAAATTCTTAAAACCAACTTTATATAATATCTATAAAATTTAACCTCTATATAAACACAAACTTTCTATAAGCACCAAATTCTTAAAACCAAAAATGTGATTATAGAGAGAGTTGACTGTATTGTGTTATGTAAAACTATGAAGCCAAGTAATATTTCTTAAGCATTGTAAATTTATATCACTTACAAATATATAATATAGAATTTCAGATGTTTATCTATCTTGTAGCATATGGTTTGAAGTTTATATAATCTGTTGTTAAAATAATGAACCAATGTCTAGTTGTAAAAAAAAAAAAGGTCAAAAGAATTTGGCAGATCCAGGTAGTAGTTTAGTAGCTAAAACTGTTCGAAATTAATTCTTTAGTTAACAACACTTTCAAAACTCTTAGAAGAGAGAAAAAAGGATTAAAATGAAATAAACATATAAAAATAGACCAATTTTATTGGTCAATATAAATCAAGTGATTAGTGAAAGTTATCCAGCATTTTGATTAGTTGTTTGTTTTTTGGAGGAAGACTTCAGTTGGGGGTGATGTTTAGCTAAAAAATTAACTTCGAATGGCCTAATTTCTAGCCCTAAAACTTTGGATATTAATGAGACAATATATAGTAATTTTTAGTTTGTATTTGTGTAATAATGTTTCAACTAGCTTAAAGCCAGAATTAGTTCCACTTTTTTTAATGTGTTGTTTATAAAATAATACATATAGACATTGTTACTTCTGTCATAGAAGCTAGAACAGAAAAAATGCAGGAAGATGCATGTTTACATTGTTACTTCTGTATTCTGTCTGTTAAATTACTTTTATGATATTTAAGAAAAAATATAAAAAATAATCTTGTTTAATTGTTACAGACACATTAAATGTAAAGTTGGTAGTACTCCTCATTTATTAAACTATTTAAGAAATTTAAAAAAATAGTTAGAATTAAATTGTATAAAAACAATGAAGTTTAATAAAAATGGTACTTAGGATAAATTTTTTCTAATATAAAATTGTGACATTTGTATGTTGAGTTATTAAGAAAATTAAGTGTAGCGAATGTAAACTGGTACCTTTTCTCTGTTAAACTATTAAATAAAGCATATATATTTTTAAGATAAATATTCTTTTGGACACATCAAATAATTAAAATATTTAAAATATAAAGTTTTATTTCTTCAGACCATCTAGTATATTTTTTATCTATAACTATTAAAATTTTAAGAATTAAAATCATATTAAAGAATAATAAAATACATTACACAGAATGAACTGAAGACAAGCTGTATATTGTTATAACTATCTCTTGAATTTGAATTAATAAAATTACTTCACATTTGCATGAAATTCTAATAAACTTCAAACAAAAATGCATAACTAATTATTAAGTATATTACTTTATCTGCTATAAATATAACCAATATCTTGAGACTCTAATAATTTGATTATTTCAATTGATTTCAAATATTAATCTGTTCTAAAATTTTTTTATTTTTTTTTCTTTATATCCATTCTTTTAATAGTTTTTTTTTTTTTTTTATCAATTTATCTTTAGTATTACTTTTCATATTAATTTTTTATTTATTTAATTATTCATTTTCAATTTGGTTTTTTCAACATGCAAACTAACTCAATTGCCTCAAACTATAATAAATTATATATATATAAATTATCAACAAACTAGTATCAAAATTTCTGTAATGCATTTATATACAACTGCATGATTATTTCTAAAAATCCAAATTTAAAAAAGAATTTTTGTGCAAAGAATGTAATAACTCATAGAAAGAAATAAAAAGCAAACCAGCATATCAAATAGAAAATGTTATTGAAAATCTACTTACTTGTACAATACCTATTGTCCAAGACTCCAATTATGTATCTTTGACTATCTAAAACCTTAGTAATGCCCCTATCACTCAAACATGGATAATTGAGGAAATTTTTGTTTCAAATTCATCTCCAATAAATGCATCGATGCAGAAGCAAGCCATAGAAATTATTAATAACACAAATAAGAAGCTTGCTGAATTTCAAAGGGTTTATAATACAACAAATAATCCAAAAACCTGAAACAACTTAATGAATCAGATGCAACAACTAAAACAAATTCTTTATACTGAGGAAAAGAAGTTAAAATCTCTACAAAAACAGGCAGAATATAAACATAACAGTGTAGAAAAAAAGTTATTATTTTTTTAATTTTTTAATTTTATTTTTTTATTTATTTCTTAATCATATTTAGGGTATTTCACCTAACCTTCAAATTTCACTTCTAATAGTACTGGAAAGAAATTTAAAGGTTAAAGTGAAGTATCCTAAGTATGATTAGAATTTTTATTTTTACTTTGTTTTTCTCTATTTAATTTGAATTCAAATGCTTACAATTCAATGCTTTATATTCAGTGCTTTATATTAGAAATAAACTTCTACAAGAACAACAACTTTTTGTTAAATATGATAAGCCTGGTCATCCTTCTTTTTTGCAAACATATCTGGACTTGCTTGATTACAATCATGATAGAATTGAATTTGGGACTGCAGAAAATAAAGGTAGTAAAAATCAGAACTGTCAACCATCTTGTGAATAATGTTAGAAATATACATGATGAATATGTTGGCAGATTTACAATAAACAATTATCTACAACCTTCTCATTCAAACTCAATTGTGGCCAAGACCTACTGTTATCCTGCCAATATCATGGTCTTATCAGTATCTAAAACTGACAACAATGACCATTCAGATAAACATTATTGTCTTACCTTCATAAAGGCAGCAAGATAATAAGTATCTTTATTTTCAAAGTTTTTAGTTATAATTTCATAGGATGATAAGGCCAAGGTTTCTCTTGGCATTACAGCAATCAGAAAAAACTTAGAGTTTTACAAACAATTAGTAAGCCAGTGACAGTTCCTAAAACAATTTTCCTATGGGTGTATAGCAAAAGCTGATACTGTTAGTTTATTTAATAATAAGTCCTAATGATACAAATGTTATACTTCACAATAGCCAACTTTCAATTTTCATTCATCCTCAATATGGAGTTGGCACAAGTTCTGCAACTCATATGCAAGATTTAGATTTATTAGAAAAGACAGCCATCTGGATGGTATGTTAAAAATAGAAAATAAAATTAAACCTATCTAAGTCCTTTTTGTTGATAGAAGCACAGATAAGAATCCTCATTATATAAAGAACATTGTCAAATATGCAACAATGTTTCAAGCATTTGACCTGGACTACCTAACCATTCAAACACAATCTTCAGGTTAGTTAGTAGATTCATTAATTGTCCAAATTATATCCTAAATACTATTTTGCTAAAATAATAATAATAAAAGCTTCTTAAACCAGACTAATTTGATTGTCTGTTTGATATAAACCTTTATTTTTCAAGATTTATATGTATTAAATTAATTATTAAAATTGTGGCATTAAATATTGTTTTTAATATCCTGTCTTTCTTCTTAAAAGTCATTTCATGTTATGTTAAATAGAAAATTAAGTTAGTCTGGTCTTAGTTACTAAAAAAAAATTAATTATCAAATTAGCGATATTAAAAAACTCAGACTTCAGGCTTTCAATCATATTTGTACTAGACACAATCAGTCTATTATGTCTGATACAAAATATAATTGAAAACATGAAGTCTGGTTTTTTTCTGGCATCACTCAAATATTAATAACTAGTTAACTGGATATTATTGTTCTAGATCAATCCAAATACAATCTGGTGAAATGGGATATAGTATCCCTTTCTCAAAAGCTTACAGGCATCATCCTATCAGTTAATATCTATGGTTCTTATTTAAATTCTTAGGGCCAAGTTATTGATGCAGAATTAGCTGAAAAAAATTTTAAACATGCTGGAGAATTATTATGTGACCTCTGGAAATAAGATCCATTATTTGGAAAGTTAATCATAGTAGAGTATATTAAAAGAAATAACTTCCCATTTTCCATCAAGTTTCCAAGATCTGAAGATGAAAATAACATGTCTTGGAAGTGGTTAGAAACTCATGCAAGGATATGTAACTATTTCTTGGATATAAAAAAATGTGAAAATATTTTGTGTTACTTACCAAAGCAATGTAAAGAGATTGCTAGTCTTCTTATGAAGAATGATGGATTTCTCCCTCCAGTAATGATGGGTAAAGATGGGTACTATGTCAATCTTATACATTTGTTAGAATTTTTCAATAAAGATAAGATACCAGAATATGATGCTTATTGTCTTTCAATTGGCAAGGCCAATTATGCTTAACTTTGTTGTTCTGAATGTAATAAATATTTTCCAATGATAGCAATGGTCACCACTCACTAAAAAAACCAACATCCTAAGAAACAAGGATAACCTAAAAGTCTGGTATCAGAATCAACAAAAATTACTTAAACAAGCATTAACGAAAAAGAAATTCATGTAAAGAAATGTGAAAAACCAAGTAAAACAGGATCTTAGATCAAAAAGATTGGCAAAAATAGAAATATATTATAATATGTAAAATAATATGTAATAAATAAAATTTCAAATAAAAAAAAAGTAATTGGAAAAAAAATAACTTATAAATTTGTGACCATTGTTTTTTATTATAATTAGCAGATTTATTACTAGTCAAATTTATACAAATTCTGCATTGCTATAAGAGCAAAATCTACAAATAAAAATTTGTAAGCTTTAGTAATAAACTTTTCAGTTGTAGAGTGATTTGCAACTTTGATCAAATAAGTTTCTGTCTATAAGTTTGGAAAGTTGTAAGGTTGTAACTAAGAACTTAACTCTGTATAAAATTTCCATCTATTTGTAAGATCTGAAAACTGATCAGCTAAAGAAAGAAATAATCATTTGGTTATGAAGTACTTTTACTGCATGTGAAAGATGCATCAATCAGATCTTTTCTATCTCTTCTAATAATCAATCTCTAGAACAGATGTAATATGAAATCACAATGTTTTTAAAAAAATGCAGATGACTCAAAATTTTGTCTATAAAACCACCTATTGCACACTAACAAAAAGAATTTCTTGCAAAATTTTAGTATAGAAAATATTCTATTATAGTCCTATCTTAACTCTAACATAAAGATTTTATTACTTTAAAAATATTGCATATATTTATTAATATAAATCATCTGATTTGTGTGTTTACCACGATAACCATTATATGCTATGCTACTCAGAATGGTTATATAACTTTGAAACCACATATCTGTTACAACCATTATATGTTGTGACATTCGAGGCAGTTATGTGACTTTGAAATCATGTAGTCATTAAAATCATAATGTGCTGCACCACTTGGAGTGGTTATTGTAAGGACGGATTTAGATAGAATTTATATAGAATTAATAAACGAATAGTAAAGTAAATACGACTGCAAAGCAC